GACCCTGGAGGGCTGGGTGGACCCTGGAGGGTTGGATGGACCCTGGAGGGTTGGTTAGACCCTGGAGGGTTGGGTGGACCCTGGAGGGTTGGATAGACCCTGGAGGGTTGGATAGACCCTGGGGGGTTGGGTGGACCCTGGAGGGTTGGATAGACCCTGGAGGGTTGGATGGACCCTGGAGGGTGGCCCTCACTGCCTTGCTGGGTCAGGGCAGTGTCTCCTCCTTCCACAGCTCTCTCTGGTTTCAGTTCTTTCTTCATCAGGAATCAAATGAAATTTGGCTTATAATTTTGCTCTTGTATCTCTTTCTATATTTGTACATATTTTTTAACAAAGACTTCCTGATATGGTGCTTTGTATAGCTGTACCTTTCCTTAAAGAAAAGAATAGTATTGTTCATTCTGCAGAAATTTGATAGTCCCATTATGCCTTTGGATAATATGGGTGATAGGAATTAGATGGTTTTATTCATGGCCTAAAGCATTCTGTGACATAACTTATTTTTTGTTTGCTTGATTTTTTCAGATGGAAAAATTAATATTTTTATTGTAAACATCAAGGTGCTGTTATAAGCCACTCTGAGATTCCAATTAAAAATTAATTATATATAAAATAATTGTACAACTAGTATTCTCCTTCAGTCAGTCAGATTCAAGTTTTTTTTTTATTGTTTTATGGATCTTTTATGTTTGTTTTATGTGAACATCAATCACAAAGTTTTGTCTAGTACATAGTTGCAATTAAGGAAGTTCTTTTTTTTTTCTTTTTTTTTGAGACAGTCTTAAGTTTGTTGCCCTCAGTAGAATGCTGTGGTATCACAGCTCACAGCAACCTCAAACTCTTAGGCTCAAGTAATTCTCTTGCCTCAGCCTCCCAAGTAGCTAGAACTATAGGCACCCTCCACAATGCCCGACTGTTTTTAGAGATGGGGTGTCTCTCTGGCTCCAGCTGGTCTGGAACCCATGAGCTCAGGCAGTCCACCTGCCTTGGCCTCTCAGAGTGCTGGGATTAAGGGGTGAGCCACCACACCTGGCCAAGGAAATTCTTTTGCAAAGCCTATTAATAAGCCATGCAAAATAAACTGCTTATTTTATTCTTCTTGTATTTCTTTCCAGGTATAAAATAATTACAGGGAAGCCTTCTGGCGCGATATCTGGAGTACAGAAAGCAGAAAATGGGCCGATTGACTGGAGTGGAGACATGCCTGTCTCCTGCAGCCTTTCTCGGTAGATGTGCACACCCAATTCATGTCTTGTGCACTGTAGTCTTTGAAATCTTTGTTGCCTGAAATCACAGATGTTCAAATACTGAAGTATAATTTGATTTTGATTTAGCTGGATGTTGTTAAAGTATGTGCTTCAATGCGTGATACTTGCCTTTGATGTGATGAAAAGATTTATTCTGAGCTATATAAATAATTTCCCGGGTGGTGCCTGTGGCACAGTTGGTAGGGCACCAGCCCCATATACTGAGCGGGGCGGGTTCAAACCTGGCCCCAGCCAAACTGCAACAAAAAATAGCTGGGCGTGGTGGCAGGCGCCTCTGGTCCCAGTTACTTGACAGGCTGAGGCAAGAGAATTCGCCTAAGCCCAGAGAGTTGGAGGTTGCTATGAGCTGTGATGCCACGACCCTCTACTGAGGGCAATAAACTAAGACTCTATCTCTAAAAATAATAATAATTTCCCCAGATCTCTTTTAAGGCACAGGGCATTTATTTTTGAGATTGCCAATCACTGGTCAATCACTGCAAACTCTTCCGAATGTGGGAATCCCACATTAGGAAGAAAAAAAAAATACCAAAAGATGCCAAGGTAATATCGACAGACCACAGATAGTTGTATAAAAATGAATACAGTTCTCAACTGGAGTGGTCAAAAACAAACACCAAAGTCTAATATTATCCCCAAAAGGTAAGAAATAATGGTTCTGTAGTACTTTTTCCAGCGTTTCAAATGTTCATGTTAATCTTGATTAATTTAGTAGCCAGAACTCAAAAAATTATATTGTCAGATAAGAGTCCTGTTATTACAAAGAAAGAATTAAGATAAATCGGCTCAGTGCCTGTGGCTCAAGTGGCTAAGGCACCAGCCACGTACACCCAAGGTGGCGGGTTCGAATCTAGCCCAGACCCACCAAACAACAATGACAGCCACAGCTAAAAAATAGCCGGGTGTTGTGGCAGGCACCTGTGGTCCCAGCTACTTGGGAGGCTGGGGCAGGAGACTCGCTTGAGCCCAGGAGTTGGAGGGTGCACTGAGCTGTAATGCCACAGCACTCTACCCAGGGGGACAGCTTGAGGCTCTGTCTCAAACAAAAAAAAAAAAAGAAAATGAAATTAAAAGTAGAAAGTAAAAGTTTCAAAATAAAATGTATCATGCAACTAGCTTGCTAAGAGAAATTCATCGTATTGGAGAGCAGAAATTCAGGATGATAATAGTGATTTGTCTGAAAGTATAATGTAGGAAATACTCCTTTTGGGATATCAAGCAATCTCACCTGCGTAGCCACAAATTACAGTGTTACAAGGTTTAGAACAGTGAGGAAACTTAGAAAGGAGAGAATCAAAATAATCGGTGAAGGTTAAATTACATAAAAATGATATAGTCCTTGATTTACCTAGGTGATATTAAATGCAGGCTGCCTGGCTTTCTGAAAAGCTGACTTTTTTTTTTTTTGAGGCAGAGCCTCAAGCTGTCACCCTGGGTAGAGTGCTGTGGCATCACAGCTCACAGCAACTTCCAACTCCTGGGCTCAAGCGAGTCTCCTGCCTCAGCCTCCCAAGTAGCTGGGACCACAGGCGCCTGCCACAACGCCTGGCTATTTTTTGATTGCAGCCGTCATTGTTGTTTAGTGGGCCTGGGCTGGATTCAAACCCACCACCTTAGATGTATGTGGCTGGCGCCTTAGCCACTTGAGCCACAGGTGCCGAGCCGACATTTTAATTTTTAATTAATCTAATCTGCAGTAATAGCAGTTCCTTTGATTTGTTGTTAAATATGATTTCTACCTGGGCGCAGTATAGCAAACTCAGTCTTCAGCTAATTTTTTCAACACTGTTTTAGGGGTCTTCAGGTGCTGCTTACCCCTGTTCTTGCAAATATCCTTGAAGCAGATCAAGAAAAATGTTGGGGTTTTGACCAGTTTTTTGCCGAAACTAGTGATATACTTCACCGAATGATAATTCATGTTTTTTCACTGCAACAAATGACAGCTCATAAGATTTACATTCACGGCTATAATACGTAAGTATCTCTTTGTATTTTCTTCTTGTATCAACATATTATGTTGTATAATAAATATTTTCCTAAGTTAGAAGAAATAGAAAAGATACCTCAGTTTCACCGAAGGCACCCACTTCCCACTCAGAAAATTACCTTCTTCGTTTTTTTTTAAATATGGCATTTTATTTTATTTATTTTTTTCTTTTTGTTGCAGTTGTCATTGCTGTTTTAGCTGGCCAGGGCTGGGTTTGAACCTGCCACCTTCGGTATATGGGGACTGTGCCCTACCGCCTGAGCCATAGGTGCCACCCCCAGAAAATTACCTAATTACAGAATGGCATAATATCTTAATAACATAAAAGGGCTGAGCATGGTGGCTGACACCTGTAACCCTAGAACTTTGGGAGACTGCGGTGGAAGGACACCTTGAGGCCAGGCCAGGACTTCAAGACACCCTAAGTAAGAATAAGACCCCCTGTCTACAAAAAATAGAAAAATTGTCTGGGTGTGTGCACCATAGTTCCAGGTACTCTGGTGGCCAAAGCATCCTGAGCCAGGAGTTTGAAGCTGCAGGGAGCTACAGCGATGCCACTGCACTCTAGTCTGAGCACCAGAGTGAGACCCTGTCTAAAAAGGAGAGAGAGGGAAGGCAGAAAGAGAAAGATAGTTATATTTAGGTGCTTGGTAATTTCCTTTCTACTTATCTTTGGAATAAAAGATTTTATACTTTTCTAAAATGTACAGGTAAATCTTAAAGGGTTTTTTCGGGGGGGGGTTTTGTGTGTGTATATATGTATTTTTGTTTGTTTGGTTTTTTGCTGTTTTTGGCCAGGGCTTGGATATGAACCCACCACCTCTAGCATATGGGGCCAGCGCCCTACTCCTTTGAGCCATAGGCACCGCCCTGTTTTGTTTTTGTCTTTGAGACAGAGTGTCACTATGTCACCCTCGGGAGAGTGCGGTGGCATCACCGCTCACAGCAACCTCAAACTCTTGGGCTAAGCAATTCTCTTGCTTTAGCTTCCCGAGTAGCTGGGACTACAGGCACCCACCACAACGCCTAGCTATTTTTTAGAGATTGGGTCTCGATCTTGCTCAGGCTGGTCTTGAATTCCTGAACTCAGGCAGTCCACCCATCTTGGCCTTCCAGAGTGCTGGGATTACAGGTGTCTGGCTATCCTGTCATTTTAAAAGTATTAAAGCCTAAGTTTTAAATATAGGTCATGTAGTTACTTGCGTATGTAGCATAAAGTACTTGGTGCTGGAGAAAGAATCAATGTTTGTTTCATATAAACAAAACACACACCCATGTGATTTTTTTTTTTTTAATCTACCAGTGTGATAAAACTGTGTTTAACTAAATACAGTTACAGACCACGTAATGACATTTGGTCAACAGCAAGTCATGTATATGATAAGAGTGGTCTCATAGATGATAATACTGTGTTTTCCCTGTATTTTTTCTATGCTTAGATATACAGATACTTAACCATTGTGTTATAATTACCTGCAGCATTCAGTATGAGAACAAGCTGTACAAGTTGGTAGCCAGGAGCAATAGGCCAGGTAGCACGTAGCCTTGGTTTGTGGGCTGCACTGTCTGTTCTGGGGTGCCCTCTGTCCTGTGCATGCAGCAGGGGTGTCACCCAGCCTCAGTGTGTGGACTGCACCGTCTGGTCTGGGGGTGCACTCTGTCCTGACCACGCAGAAGGGACGTCATCCGCGGTGCCTTCTCTGATCTATTCCTGCCCACATGTGGCTGCCGTGTGCAGGGGCACATGCGCGTGTGTGTAAGATGGGGGACCTGCAGGGTTGGGTAGAGGGCAGTGACTGTTACTATCCTGCTGGTGATACTTTACAGTGTGAGAGATGTCACCATTGGGGCAGCTGGACGCAGCATCTGTGTGTGTGATTTCCTACAACTGCTTGTGAATCTACAATGATCTCAGCACATTTTTTTAAATGAAGGGGAAATAGCGAGGCACGAGGATCACTGGAGCCCAGGAGTTTGAGGTTGCTGTGAGCTATGATGCCAGGGCACTCTAGCCTGGGCAACTGAATGAGACTCTACCTCACAAATAAAAAATAGAAATAAATAAATAAAATGAAGGGGAAAAAATACCACACCCATTCTATATACCTTTGTTTATGTTTTGACTAAATTCAAATAGCAGTTTTGATACTTTATAAAACTCAATAAGGGGTCCTTACTGTAATGAAGGTATAAAATCAATAATTAAAATTTTTTAGATAATTAACATCTAAATATATAAACATAACATGAATATAAATCAATATAACATTAGATTATAATATATTATTTATTTTGCAATTTATTTGCCTGAATCAACATGCATCATAGTGGCCAAGTGTGGTGGCTCATACCTCTAATCCCAGCACTCTGGGAGGCCCAGGCAAATAGACTGCTTGAGTTCAGAAGTTCCAGACCAGCCTGAGCTAGAGTGAAATCTCATCTCTAAAAATCGTGGCAGGCGCCTGTAGTCCCAGCTAATTCAGAGGCGGAGGCAAGAGGATTGCTTGAGCACAAGAGTTTGAGGTTTGCTATGAGCTTTGATGCAACGGCACTCTACCAAGGTTGAGAAAGTGAGACTCTGTCTCCAGAAAAGAAAAACATGGCTCGGTGCCTGTGGCTCAAGCGGCCAAGGCGCCAGCCACATACACCTAAGGTGGCAGGTTTGAATCGAGCCTGGGCCTGCCAAACAACAATAATGGCTGCAACCAAAAAAAATAGCCGGGTGTTGTGGCGGGCGCCTGTGGTCCTAGCTACTTGGGAGGCTGAGGCAGGAGACTCACTTGAGCCCAGGAGTTGGAGGTTGCTGTGAGCAGTGAAGCCATGGCACTCTGCCCAGGGGGATAGCTTGAGGCTCTGTCTCAAAAAAAAAAAGAAAAACATGCATCATAGTTAGGTTCTGGCCACTATTTTTATTCTAAAAATACACTTGGTTTGTATTACAAACCCTGAACTAGTTGTTGAAATACAGTAGCACTCAAAGCAGAGGCTTATGGCAAAGCTAGATTACAATATTGCTGCTGAAATGTTTCTTGGACTTCATAGATCTACTCAGGCGGAATCTGTCATTCCCCAAAAATGTCATTTTTAAAATACTTGGTTTTATTTATTTATTTAACAAACATATAGTCATATTGCAAGTCCTGTTATACTTACACTATCAAATCCTCACAGCAGTTCTGCAAGTCGGGTCCTGGAATTGAATGCAGGCATCTGGCGTAAGTCAGTGCTCTTAACCTCTCTGCTGTGCTGTCTTCCCATTTTTAAATGTTGAGAATTTTGTATATATATTAACACAGGTGTCCTAACACAAAGATGTTTTTTAATTGAGGACTATGGACAGATTACCAACACATTACATCACATCTTCAGTTTAATGGACGGTGGTATCCATAGTAATAATGCAGTGCTGTGTGGGCTGCTCCGGATCTTGGCAGTAACGGATTAGCAGCTGCTGTTGTCGTACTCATCCTGATAACACAGTTGTACCTCTCACTTCCTCCCCAGTTACGTTGTCCTTTTGCATTTTCTTATACAGTGCTACTGTATTTCATGAACTGGTGTATAAACAAACCAAAATTATTTCTTCAAATCAAGAACTTATTTATGAAGGACGACGCTTAGTCCTCGAGCCTGGAAGACTGGCCCAGCATTTCCCTAAAACTACTGAGGACAATCCCATCTTTGTAGTAAGCCGGGAACCCCTGAGTACCACAGGGTTAATATATGAAAAAAGTAAGTTGGAATGTTTCTTTTGTTCTTACTAGCCATGTTAAAAAAAGCAAAACCGGTCATCATGGAAATGATCGTCATCTTCAAAAAGTCAGTGATGACATTAATGTAGGACTTTCACAAATATTAAAATGTCATAAATTACTGTAGTTGAGAGTGGTTGTAAGGTAGAAAAGCCTTGTAGACATAATTTGACTTTAAATATTTTGCTTCATGTAATAGTAAAACACCTCTGTCAGGTAACCACCGGACGGACTATAACAGACTGGTCAACATACAGAGGAACTAGGCCTGCTGTCCTGATACACTCATGTGGTGCATGTCTGTTCTGTGAAAATCAGGTCAAATTGAGGTGGTCAGTATAGAGAGGGGGTCAGGAGGTCCTACTGTAGTTTGTCATGTACATTTTACTGTAACTCTGCTTGAAGTATTTTGCTAACTTTCAAAAAGACCTTTTGTATTATAAATTTAAGCAAATATCTATTGCGTCCAGTATGTATAGGATATCGTGCCAAGCTTTAGAGTCTGAGAAAAATTAGATCTGTGTTTTTGGAGTCTTTTAAATTACTCATTCTACTGATGGGAAAAAATTATTTACCCAGATTTTTACATTACTCTTTGAAACTTTGGGATTTGACTTGGATTTAAAGAGAAGCTTTGAGGCTCATTGTGTTAGAATATATATATTTTTATATATATGAAAAAGTGAATTACCCAGATTTTTATATTACTCTTTGAACTTTGGGATTTGATTTAAATTTAAAGAGACCTTTGAGGCTCATTGTGTTGGAATATATATATATATATATTTGTTTGTTTGTTGAGACAGAGTCTCATTCTGTCACCCTGGTTAGAGTGCCGTATCATAGCTCAACAACAACCTCAAACTCCTGGGCTCAAGCAAACTTCTTGCCTCATCCTCCCAAGTAGCTGGAAGTACAGGTGCCCACCACAATGCCTAGTTAGTTTTTCTATATTTAGTAGAGATGGGGTCTTGTTCTTGCTCAGACTGGTCTTAAACTCCTGAGCTCAAGCAATCCTCCCTCTTCAGCCTCCCAGAGTGCTGGGATGATAGGTGTGAGCCACCGAGACCAACTGTGTTGGTATATCTTTTAGGAAAAAATGAAGCTCCTGAGAAATATTGAGAGGGTAATTTGTTAGAGAATGTGCATTTATGTTTCAATTCATTTTTTTAAAAAACCAGGAAAAGTCCAATGTAGAGTTTTGCCACTAACGTTCAGATATTCTCTTTGTTATACAAAGAATGAAGTAATTTTTTCAAAGTGTATTTCTCATTTTAAGTATTTCACTCCATATTTCAGTTTCTCTTCCTAAAGTACATCCACGTTATGACTTAGACGGGGACGCTAGCATGGCCAAGGTTAGTGATGAATTGAATTAGTATTAAATATCTGGATTTAAATTATCCTAACAGTAGTGAAAGCAATAGAATATATTGTGTCTTTATATACATCTTTGTGACTTGGAAAGTTATTTGCTTAAATTGATGTGCTTTCCAAGTCATTTTGTGTTTTTATTTACTTTCCTTCTGTAACTCATTCTCTTACTGAAAATCTCTTATTGAGACAGTCCATGTTTAGATAATATTAAGGTTAAAATATTTATTATGTTAATATTTGTTCTTAGCTTTTAGAAATTAGTGGCTTATGTGTGTTATGTTTTTGATTAGCCTCATAGAAATGTATAAGCTTGAAAAATTCTGTGTAAAAGTTTTTCTGACTCTGTACCACAGTTAGCACCAAACACTGGTTTTCCGTTTCTTCCCCAGGCAGTTACAGGGGTTGTGTGTTACTCCTGCCGAACCGCCAGCACCCTGCTGCTTTACCAGGAGTTGATGCGGAAGGGGGTGCGATGGTTGATGTAAGTGACCAAGTTTTGAAAATTGTTCTTCACGTAGACCTCACTGAAAAGCTGGGAGCTGCCCCATCCTTGGCGTTTAACCTCTCAGACTGGTTAGGGTCAGGGGCTCGGCTGTCCTCGTATATTTTCACATTTAATGGGGAAACATTCAGCAGCTGTTGTTGGCTTGTACACCGAGGCTGGTGGGTTCATACCCAGCCTGGGCCTGCTAAACAACAATGGCAACTACAACAACAACAACAAGAAACATTCAGCAGCTGTTTTGAGGCCAGTAGTGATGGTCGCAGTCTGTGAATAAACTAAAGCCCACTGCCGATAGGCAGAACTTGTGAGACAGGACAAACCGTGTCTGAGCATACGCCCTGTGCCGCACTGTGTGATGTGGCAGCAAGTGATTTCCTCTTCAGGGACCTCGATTTGTCGCGTCTCACTGCGTGGAGGCTTTGCTTGTTCTGATCCAGTACAGTTTATACTTTCTAGGGCTTAAGTCCTCAGAACCTCCCTCCATTCACTGTCTTTTCCCAAATGAAGTGCACACTCAGGTTTTTTTAATATCATTGAGATATAATTTGCCTGTTTACGCACACAATTCAGAGGGGTTTAGTACAGTCACAGAGTTACGCAGCCATCACTACTGATTTTAGGACATTTTCATTATTGAAATAAGTAACTCTGTACCAATTAGCATTCACTCCCCATTGCCCGCCAAACCTCCCAGCCTCAGGCAACCACCAGTAAACTTGATGAATTTGTCTGTTCCGTACATTTCATGTAAATAGAATCTCACCTTTTTTTTTTTTTTTTTGGAGACAGAGTCTCACTGTGTCACCCTCGGTAGAGTATTGTGGCATCATAGCTCACATCAACCTCAAACTCCTGGGCTTAAGTGATTCTCTTGCCTCAGCTTCCCAAGTTGCTGGGACCACAGGCACCTACCACAGCGCCTGCCTATTAGAGACAAGGTCTCGCTCTGGCTCAGGTTGGTCTCGAACCTGTGAGCTCAGGCAATCCGCCTGCCTCGGCCTGCCAAATGTTTGGATTACAGGCGTGAGCCACTGCGCCCAGCAGAACCTCACCTTGACTGGTAATTTAAACACTTAATTTTATTTTACTAAATCATTTTATATAGTTATTCTAGATCAGAATCTTGGGCCTGGTGAGTTGGTTCCCACCTGTAATTCTAGCATTTTGGGAGGCCGAGCTGGGCAGATTCCTTGAGCTCAGGAGTTCAAGACTAGCCTGAGCAAAAGTGAGACCCCATTTCTATTTAAAAAATAGAAAAATTAGCCAGGCATTGTGGCATGTGGCTGTAGTCCCAGCTACTTGGAAGGCTGAGGCAGAAGGATTGCTTGAGCCCAGGAGTTTGTGGTTGCCATGAGCTAGCCTAACACCACAGCACTCTAGCCTGGGTGATAGAACAAGACTCTCTCAAAAAAACAAAAAATATTGATCATCTAGTTAAGGATTCTCTTCCTGTGACCCTAGCAACGTAAGGATTACCTCTTTTTACTTTTCATGATCTATTGATGCCATCTTTCCATCTGATAAAAGTGGAAAATAAAGGGATCTCTCTTAATAATTATGCTATAGTTCTACATCATTCAGAGTTTGTGAATCGTGTACACACAGGGATGTCCTGTGGCCTGCAGATGCTGAGCACTGTTTTCTGGACTCTTGTCATGGCGCGTGGGCTTTAATGCTTTGCACCACCTCATACCCTCGATTCTCCAAAAATAATGAAGAATCCTTTCATCATTCTCATCACTTTCTTAGGCTCTTTCTTGTGTTCACAAACCCAGTCTCTGAGCCCGCGCTTTCTTGTGTTCACGTTCCCTGGTTCGCGAACCCAGTGTCTAAGCCCGCGCTTTCTTGTGTTCGCGTTCCCTGGTTCGCAAACCCAGTGTCTAAGCCTGTGCTTTCTTGTGTTCACGTTCCCTGGTTCACGAACCCGGTCTCTGAGCCTGCGCTTTCTTGTGTTCGCGTCCCCTGGTTCGCAAACCCGGTCTCTGAGCCCGCGCTTTCTTGTGTTCACGTTCCCTGGTTCACAAACCCAGTCTCTAAGCCTGTGCTTTTCTAGAACCACTAGGCAGGCTCCTCGTTTTTACTGTTCTCCTGGAAAATCAAAATGTGCTTTACTTTCATTTTTTCTTGCTATTTGTTATCTACCCCACTCACTGATCCATGATGTTTTTATTATTTTGTAGTTTAGTAAGTCATGGAAAAAATAGTTTTAAAGTAGACCACTTGGGGTTCTTTGTTTTGTTTTGAGATAGTCTTATTCTGTCTGTCACCCAAGCTAGAGTGCTGTGGCAGCAGCCTAGTCCCTGCCCCAGCCTTTCCAGTAGCTGGGACTACAGTGGCCACCCCATGCTGGCTAGTTCTTTCTGTTTTTAATACAGACATGGTCTTGATTTTGCTCAAGGTTGTCTTGAGCTCCTGAGCTCGAGGGGTCCTCCCACCTCAGCCTCCCAGAGTGCTGGGATTATAGGCATGAGCCACTGTACCTGGCTAACCACTTTGTTTATAAACCTTTCTTTTTAAAAAAAAAAAAAAAAAGTGAGGTCTCACTCAGTTGCTCAGGCTGGGGTGCATCGTAACTCACTGTAACCTCAAATTCCTGGGCTTAAGAAATACTCTTGCCTCAACCTTCTGAGGCACTAGGACTATAGGTGCATACCACTTCACCTGATGTTTTAAAATGTTTTGGGATGAGTAGGGTCTTGCTGGGTTGCCCAGGCTGGTTTCAAACTCCCAGGTTGAGGTAGTCCTCCCACCTCAGCCTCCCAGAGTGTTGATTCCTAGGTGTGAGCCAAAATGCCTGGCTCATTTTTACAACTTGTAAAAACTGTAATATTAGCTCACGGGATATATAAAAGCAGGCCTTGTTTGCTGCTCCCTGATGTGGACTGGCAGCCCTGGGATTCTGTGTTACTCTGTCATCCATATCCCCACTTCAAAGCCTTCCAGAATTGGAAATGCGTACCAACATGATGCTCAGAGGTCACGCTCAGAGGAAGTGTGCTCATCGGAGCATTTCCGAGTTCCGATTTCAGAATAGGGCTGCTCAGTCTGTGTACATATGCCGTGGGATAGGGAACCTGTGGCCTTCTAAATCCTGAAGTGTGGCCTTTAACTGAATCTAAATTTCACAGAACAGATCTTTTCAGTAAAAAATGTGCATCAGAGGAAGATTAAGCTTTTCTTTTTTTATGCTTAAAAAAGAATAATCTTGAAATTAGAAGGTGGCAGGTTCTCCACCCTAATATAATTTTGATGGCTTGGGCTTCTAAACTATGGGCCTTAGTAAGTCATAATGCTTTGTGAAAATGTCAATGCCCTAGATACATATAAGGGTCTGAGATGCTTTTAGTAACAGCACCCAAAAAATGTGAATTGGCTTTTATAATAAGAATGTTGTCATAAGATGTGATTGAACAGTAGTGCTACAGTGTGGAAGACAAGAACAAAGGAGAAATATCTTAGATGAACTAACAGGAATCTTTTTTTTTTTTTTTAGTGAATTAGTTAAAGATGATTACAACGAAACTGTTCACAAAAAGACAGAAGTTGTGATCACGTTAGATTTCTGCATCAGAAACATTGAAAAAACCGTGAAAGTGTGAGTAGATGACTTCCCTGTGCTGGTGGTTAAAATGTTAACTGCTCCATTTCTGTTTGATTCATTACTTATCCTCGGCCTGCATGGCAGACTGTGTGTCTGTATTAAAGAGCAGCTTTGGGCCAGAGGTTACTTCATCTCAGGGAGAAATTCCAGTTTCTCAGGGGAATGAAGCCATCTCTTCAGTAGTGTCTTCTCCCAGCCTGTGTGGAGAGGAAGGCAGAGGGAGAGAGCAGCATTGGCTCTGCCTGCAAAGCCGGAGCTCTGAAAGGGGACATGCAAAACCTGGAGTCAACAAAGGAGACAGAAAGTGGTACTCGAGGGCGGCCTTCGGGTAGTATGTTTAGAAGTTTAGGAACTAACTTTTACGTTACTCTTACTAAGCTTATTTCAGAGAATGTCTTTTTAAAAAATAATAATAATAAGATCTCACTCTGTTGCTCCAGCTACAGTGCAGTGGCATCATCATAGCTTACAGCAATCCCAAACCCTTCCTCCTGCCTCAGCCTCCTAAGTATCTGGGACCACAGGCACATGCCGCAATGCCCAGCTAATTTTTGTTTTGTTTTGTTTTGTTTTGTAGAGATGAGGTCTTGCTATGTTGCTCAGGCTGGTCTTGAACTCCTGGGTTAAAGTGATGCGCTCTCCCTGGCCATTCAAAGTGCTCAGATTACAGGTGTGAGCCACTCTACCCAGTTGTGAAATGTCTTTTGAAACAGAATATTTTAAATGACTTTCGTTCTAGATTATACTAATTGTACTAGAGATGAACTATGAGCAGTGAAGTCAGTATTTGCTATTGACCTCCATGAATTCTGAAATCTAGTATTTCTGCTGTCTTACTGACAGTAGATTACTTGTGCCCTTTTCTTTTTTACCTCTTAATCAGCAAATGTGTAAGTAGAAGTCCATAAAATTTCTTCAGGAAAGCATTAAGGTTTTCTTAGAACCTACTGGCTTATAGACTCTGAGTGAATGTTTAATTCTTAAATGGTTATGATAAAACTAATAATTTTTAAAACATCCTTAAAAACTATGTATTCATTACACTTGTTTAATTTTTTTGTGACTTTCTTTTCATACAGATATGAAAAGTTGATGAAGATCAACCTGGAAGCAGCAGAGTTAGGTGAAATTTCAGATATACACACCAAATTGTTGAGGGTGAGTAACCACAAAATCAGGAAGATTATAAGATCATAGTCTACTCCTTTGCTTAATATATTTAAACTTTCTTAAATGATGTTTTTAACTCCAAGGAAAAAGTAGCCTTTTCCCATCTTTAGGAACTTGTTTACAGGATTTAAATGCTCTCACTGTCATGAAGTTCTTTATGACGTTTCCAAGTGCATGTGCTTTAAACCCCTCCCCTCTCTAGGTTTTTAAATCTCTGATGCTCTTTCTGCTGCTGCCATAGCAATTGTAGCAGGTTCACAAATGTAATTTAACATACAGTTGAAGCAGAGTGTGCAAACTTATTTAGAAGTAGATTCAGATTAGGAAAATATTCTCAGATATGTAGTAAAATAAAAAGTAAGGAGAAAAAGATGTGGACTGCTAGAGGCAGCAAGTCATTTCTGCAACTAGAAAAAGCGGTCAGGAGCTCTCTCCTCTGCTGAAAAATACGATGATAGCATTTCAAGAAGTCTTTGGATCTCTTCTTAAAATGTAGAAGAGTACAGGGCCAGGTACAGTGACCACACGTGTAATGCTAGCACTTTGGCAGGCCAGAAGTTCGAGACCAGCCTGTATAAGAGCAAAACCCCAGCCCTACGAAACATAGAAAACTTAGCTGGGCATGGTGATGCCTGTGGTCCTAGCTACTTGGGAGGCTGAGGCAGAAGGATCGCTCAAGCCTAGGAATTTGAAGTTGCTATGAGCTATGATGACACCACTGTATTCTAGCTGGGAGGAGAGAGATAAATCCTATCTCAAAAAATGAAGTAGGCTTGGCGCCTGTGGCTCAAGTGGCTAAGGCGCCAGCCACATACACCCAAGGTGGAAGGTTCAAATCCAGCCTGGGCCTGCCAAACAACAATGACAGCTGCAACCAAAAAATAGCTGGGCGTTGTGGCGGGCACCTGTGGTCCCAGCTACTCGGGAGGCTGAGGCAGGAGACTCGCTTGA